TGGAGTCCTTACAGAGCTCCGGGTTCCTGTTGCAGCTTTAAATCAGCTCCCATCACTTTCACAGGCAGAAACTGCCAGAGGAAAGAATAGTTTCATGATCCCCCAAATAAAACTTCCAAGTGCTAATTATCTAAAGAAGAAGCAAACTCAGCCACGCTGTCAGTGGTGACAGACACAGACAAGCAACAGCAACATGAGGTTGGTTGTATGAGCTGCACCTTAGACTGTCATTTCACCTCCGTCATGAATGTGCCATATGAGCATCCAGCCTTTTCTTGTCCTTGGAGATCACAGGATTACAGAATCACAGAAATATTTATTTTGGAAAAGACCTCTGAGATCACCGAATCCAAACTTTGACTGATCACCACCTTGTCACCCAGACCATAACACCAAGTGCCACGTTCAGTCACTTCTTTAACATCTCCGGGTCTGGTGACTCCACCACCTCACTGGGCAGCCTGTTCCAATGTTTGACACCCCTTTCTGTGAAGAGGTTTTCCCTCAGCCTCTTCTCATATGATTTACTCTCCAGACCCTTCCCCAGCTCCAATGCCCTTCTCTGGACACGCTCCAGCACCTCAATGTCTTTCTTGAAGTCAGGAGCCCAGATTAAGTAGCTGTATTTGCATCAAGATATTCCAATCACGTTGGTCCACCATGACTTTGCAGCATGTTGGGTGACTCCTGCACATGTCAGGGTGCAACTCCATAATGTTGTGGTGCTAATTGGCTGTTAATTTTAAAACTAGGCTTTAAAACAATTTAATGGCATTGAAAGACATGGTCTTAGGGCATATCCACAGCAAAAAGGAGAAAAAAAAATTTCATTATCACAATATTTATAACAAGTGCTTTTAGAGGCTACCACGTCAGAAAATTTCAAAGACTATGAGAAGGTGATTTTTGGAACTCAAATTTTCTTTTGTTTTTTAAAACACCAACGAGTTATTTGTGCAAAAATTGAAGCCAGTTCTTTTTTTGGTGGTCCCCAAGAGATAAGATGCCTGCAAATGTCACAGATTTATAAGGCTTTTTTCCTTAAAGCTCCAGCCTTCAAAGGGCCCCTCTCTGCATCCATGAAAGCCAGACCCAGGAACTGCTTCTTTACAGGGAAAACCCTAATTGTTCTTGGACCACACAGCTGGGTCACTGAACTGCTGTTTGCCTTTGCCATGCCAGGGAATACAAATCAGCTTGACTTCCACAGATGTAGGGAAGGAAAGCAACCAGCATCAACCAAAGCAACACAAGCAGCTCTTCCAAAACAAATTAGCTTCAACAGTCAGCACAGAATCCTTCAGTCAGTGTGGCCAAGCTGAATTTAGGCCAGACTTTGCATAAAATAGAGTAACTGGTTTAATAATTATCTGTGGAGTCTGAGTTGTTTTTTTTTTTTTTCTTCCTCTCAATCCATCTGCAGAAGTTTTGAGACACCAGAGCAAAGTGAAACTGCTCATCTCCTTTAGTGTGATGTTCAGCCCACCTAATCTAACCTCAAAGGCAGCTACTGAGGCTGTTGGGTGCCTAGATATTCCCTTTTTTCCAATAAAGCAGTAGGTGATAGGCTCAGGATTCATTTTCCCTTGAAATATTTGTGGTGTAATTAATATTCTTGCACTTTTTAGACAAAAGAGAGAGCAGAGTGCCCAGAGAATCAGCCATGAGACCTATCTATGTCAGACATCTCCCGTGAGATAAGTCATATTCTGAAAGCAATTCCTCCTCCTGGTAAAGGGAGTTCAGACACTTGGACACACATTTCTCTACCAAACACACTCATATTTGCTCCCATAAATCCCTATCTGCCAGAGAGCAATTTGACCCATGTCAAAATTAGTGTTTTAAGATGGGTGGGATGAATCATTTTCTCTGGGGCATGGACAGGGAAATTTCATGAGACAAATCTGGGCCGTTGGGATTTAATAGAAAGGGTCATAATTTCTGCTCAGGGCCCAGGGGATATGAGACCCTCACTGGAAAGAAAGGCACTGAAGCAAGTCTAGTGCAGGACATTATTTCTCCCGGTTTCTCCCTGCCAGATTTGTTTGCTTCTCAGTGATTTCTCAAACTCAAATTTTCCAGTGGAAGTAGGACAGCAAACACTAACTGTCAAGTTTCTGTGACCAAAAGGGTTTTCATATGGAATAAGGACTTTGTTCCTCTGCTCCTACATCAATATCCAACACTTACTCTTTAATCTTCATTTTGACTCTGTGTTCCTACAGATAATGCAGTGGCCCAGTTTAACTGTTACTGTAGTAAAAACAAGTTTAATTACAAACAACTATTCTGTGATGATAATTTAAAATGAAGGAAAAAAAATCTGCTAATAATAATTAAAAAAAAAATATTCCACAGCTCTGACAGCTCCCACTAAACCTTTTGGAGTTTAAACCAAAAAATAATAAAGTAATAAATCACTACTGCTAGCACACAGCAGAAAGGTACTCAGCAAGAAGATCTTGACATTTATTTAAACGTTTCTATCATTTCAGAGAACCTAAATGCCTGATTTTGTACTAGTTAAGGGAAAACTGTTAACTGATGCTTTGTTACAATAATGTGCAGGTTGGGAGTGGTGCTCCAAGCTGTATTGTTGAAGTGACTGCAGGAATTATATGCAAAAATTGTGTTAAATAACCAGCCACTTAATCTTTACTCCTGACAGAGATCCCTTCATTAAGGTCTACAGCAGGCCTTAAGCTTGAATGCTTCAGCAATGTTGACATTTCTGATTTCTCAATTTATGTACACATTTGTTGATAGACTCGTAAAAATACTACTTACACACACACACATATTTATGTACATATAAATAGGAATAAATAACAAATGTATGTCAGCCAGGCTGCATTTACAGGGTAATCACACTGTAGCATGAGTAACAGCTAAATATACTAGTGAAGTAGTAGTTTAACAAAAGAAGAAAAACTCAGTAAGATTTGAAAAACAGCCTGTGCTTTTGATCCTTGACAAGTGCAGGGGGAATTTCCAGTGTATAAAGCCATGGCAGGTCCCTTAAAAGCAGTTCACCCACAGGGCCACCTGGCTGATCGTTCTCCCAAACCCATCCCAGATATTTCTAAAGCAGCCAAAACCAGACACACCACCCAGAAGGGTGACCTGTACTCACACTGCGTTATCCACAGGGATGTAGGTGGCATCAACATTAATTCCCACAGAAGCCTTTGAGGGCTGTGAGATCAGGGCCCTACGGAGACAGTGTCCTTTTGGATGCAAGATGAGCAGATAGCATGGCACATAAAAGATGAGGCATCATAGGCAGTTTGACCAACCCCAGGCAGCAGGCCAGGGCCTGAAGTCACAAAAGTTTCACTTCCTTTTCTGTTCACATCTCAGGGGGCCTCATGAAAGAGCTGAGTTTACACATGTTCGACTCCTGATTCTCACCCAGCAGTGTACAGAGAACTTACCTGTGCTCTGCAGGAGGTCTGGATTGCACGTTTTCTTTAGCAGCTGAATTTTCCTAAGTGATATTTGTCTATATGGGTTTCTTTCAAGGGCAAGAGAGACACTGAAGTGTTTTCCTGCACATACCAGCCAGTACATATTTATGTCCTTAGCGGGGGTTGACTCACTAAAACTGGCTCTATCTTCACTTTGATCAACATATCTGAGGAATAAAGGGCCTCCTAACTGGGCAGACTATTTCAGCATCTCCTGCTGGCTGAAGAAAGCAGCTCCTTCAGACTGTGTTGCTTTCATTTTCTGCCTGACTACTCTGACCTTCTGAGCCAAAGTCATCATTAAGTCATTTGCAGCTCTGCGATCAGCTCTACAGTCAGGTCAAGTATTAAATTCATTCTGGTCTCATTTTAGACTTCATGTGGTACATAACAAGTTATTTTCAAAGCAAATGCAGGATTACATTCAGGGTGACACGCATTATCTTGAATACATATATATACATTTAAAACCAAAACGGAGCTGAAGACCACACTTATTTTCTGCAATATCAAAGTTCTACAAAGTTGCTCTTATCACTCACAATTTGCAAAATACATTTCACTAGTAAATGAGCTGTAGATAATTTTAAAATCACTTTACATCAGAGTAAAATGCCTTTGGCTCTCACTCCTTTGGTCTAGAGGTTTGCCCCAGATCTTCAGAATTCATTGTGTCCAAAGGCCAACAAGGAGGCATTATGTACTTTCATGGACCTCAGCTATATTTTGCCAAAACAAGACTCCAGATACATGAAAATCACCAGTTGATGGTTGAGGAAAAAAGGAAACTCAAGAGTTTTTGTTCCATCAGTCCAATCCAGGCAATAACAATTTTTTCTTTGTTCAAGCCCCAATCCCTTTTTATCCCTAGGAAGCACTAACTGTAACCATCCAAGAGTTCTTTCTGGTCAAGCCATTTTCAAAAAGATTAATGTTTGTGAGTGTGTTTTATTCTTGCTCCAATGAAGAAAAAAAACCCAATTCACAAAAAAGACCCTCAAATTGCCTTTAAAAAGTGCTGAACACCATCCCCACAGCCATTATTCTCCAACCACATCATGTTGTTTGACAGCTCAGTTGTTTTTGTAAAGGACTGTTGCCTGATTATAGGGAAACACTCCAAACAGAAGCACATCTACACTGAAATGATGTGCTTTTTATGACATCTTTCCAAGAACAACAGCAGCTAATTGTTGACTTTCCTACTGGGAAATGTCTGTTTAATATGCAGATCTCCTAATGACTACTCTAAAGCTAATTGTCTGTGCTACTGTAATTTAATCATATATATTTATATATATATAAAAAGTTCAGCTCTTACTTAGAATATGGTTTATCATCTTTCCAGGTAGCACAAATGCAACACAGCCAATGTGCCATGTGGTTCACAGCTGCCAAGTGTTCTCTTTATTTTAAATATTATTGCTGAAAAATATATATCTATATAAAATATAATATTACATATATATATTAAATATTAATTTAAATATCATTACTGAAATCCACAGGGTTTTTTTTAGACCCACTTACTTGGTGCTGACTGGCTTTTGCCAACTGCTCATTGGCTGAGTCTACGTTAGAAGACGCCGTCTCAATGTTGGCTTCAATACTATCTGGAAATTAAGACAATAGAAGATAATCACAGGGTACAAACCTAAAACAAAGACTTTATACCAACAGCAATTCAGCAATTTACTCCTGGGCATAAAAGGAGAAGCAGCCTCTTGTTTGGGAACTGCAGCACTGCAGGGAAGTGGCGACAACACCCATTTTGGTGAGCACCCAACCCATCAGCTGGGCAGGAGGACTGACAGCTCTCCGTTGTCCCTTGGCAGGATGGAGGGGGGACAACAGAGAGCTGTCATTCCCACTGAAATCCATGGGAAGAACGACAGGGTATTCAAAGGAAAGCAGCTCAAGCTTGATAAATCTACTATATTAAATTATAAAAGGCCCATGGCAGATTGTACCTGGAATTATATTGATATTATAACTCAGGGTAAGATGTCTCTGGGCACACAGAGGGTGTTGACCATCCCCAGGTGTCTGGACTTGATCAAATCACTTTGCACAATATCCCAGTCCATGGAGAGCAAGTCTCTGGTGTGCAGTTCATTCCAAACTACAACAGTTGATCAGATTAAACAAACCACAACCCAAACTCCCGGACCACATTCCCAAACTGCAAGGGAGGTCAGTATGGATGGCTCAGACTGAGACTCATTGCCTAAAAGTAAGGCAGAAAAATTTCATCCTATGTTGCTAGGTCTGGCATTGGGGAAGCTGGAGGAGCCACGAGGAATCAAAATGAGACTGGAAAAGAACAATTATCCTTGAACATTGTAGCCCACAGCTCCCCACTGCTATCAAACCCAAATAGTAACTTTGACTCCCAACTGTGCTTAGAAAGCAAGACATCTGCGGTATAAAACCTGCAAAAAAGGGCTTGTGTTTCCAGCAAAAATCTTGACAAGCTTGTCCCCTAAGAGAAGTTCAGCCAATAATTTCTGGCCACAATGGAAGAATATGTGTCCTTAGTCTGATTCTGAGTGGTTTTGAGCAGAAAATACACCATGGAGTACATGAACATGACCGGAAGGAACTCAACCACAGGTAGAAATTTGAAAATAAACTCTAATCCTTAATAAAACTAACAAAAAATTATTCAATTAATGGTATTAGGAGTTGAATTAAGACATGCTACAAAAGATTCAAGTAATTTATTCTTTGGTTTCAAAGGAAAGAACATGAATTAATGTGACCACTTTTGTGAGGGACAAAGAAATGAGAGTTTGCAGATAAACTGTGGAAAATGGTTCCATTCAGACTTTGACAATTTTGACTCAAACAGTGTTAAAGTCTGTTAATGTAATTATGCATTTGTGATAACTCAAAATAAAATAAAAAAACCCTCAAACAAACAAAGAAAAGAAAAAAAAAAAGAAGAAAAGCAGCAAAACCCCATCAAATCAACAGAAACATGGAATAAACAACTTTAATCCTAACACTTGGAAACCTGGTAAAAGTCTTTCATAACGCCTGGGAGAGATGGTTTCCCGATCCTTTTATTTTAAATTACGTACACTGTAGTGCAGAAGAAAAAAATCTATGCGGTCATACCCTTTTACAGATCGATTTAACATCATTTTATTTGCTATATCCAATGCTTCTAAAAACACTTTTATTAAGACTTTAACACCATGGTCTTTGGTTAGCATCACTGACCTCTGCTCAAATGCTTTCCTTACAGTCAGGATTCAGCAGGAAGGGATCAAAAGGCCTCTTAGGAATTCATCCTCTGTCTATGAAGATATTAAAATCCTCTTCTACAGAGCCTTGGAAGAGCTACATCCACACACGTGCACATATCGGTGTGACAACCTTGAAGAGCTTCCAGTACTGCACTGAGCTGAAGGCATTTCTAGGAAAGTGTCTGATTTTTCATTCCAATGCCAGCAAAACCAAACAAAAAACTAAAACAAACACTCAAACAAACAAACAAAAAACTCCAAAAAGATGTTCTGAACTATTAAAATGATGAACAAAATCACAAATGGCACAGGGTCATGGAATCATGGAATGGTTTGGGTTGGAAGGGACCTTAAAGATCATCCAGTTCCAACTCCCTGCCATAGGCAGGGACACCTTCCACGAGACCAGGTTGCTCCAAGCCACATCCCACCTGGCCTTGGACACTTCCAGGGATGGGGCAGCCACAGCTTCTCTGGGCAACCTGTGCCAGGGCCTCTCCACCCTCACAGGGAAGAATTTCTTCCTGATATCTAATGTACAATTACCCTCCTTTGACTTAAGGCCATTCCCCCTTGTCTTATCACGACCTGACCTTGCAATAGTCCCTCTCCAGCCTTCTTGTAAGTCCCCTTTACGCACTGGAAGCTTCTCTTCTCCAGGTTGAACATCCCCAACTCTCTCAGCCTGTCTTCACAGGAGAGGTGCTCCAGCCCTGGGATCATCTTGGTGGCCTCCTCTGGCCTCATTCCGACAGCTCCACGTCTTTCCTGTATAGCAGCACTGCAGGTGGGGTCTCACAAGAACAGAGCAGAGGGGGAGAATCCCCTCCCTCGACCTGCTGCCCACTCTGCCTTTGATGCAGCCCAGGACACAACTGGCTTTCTGGGCTGTGAGTGCACATTGCTGGGTCATGTGGAGCTTTTTGTCCACAAACACCTCCAAGTCTTTCTCCCCAGGGCTAGTCTTGATCCATTCTCTGCCCAACCTGTCCTTGTGCTTGGAATTGCCCCAAGGTCTACCACAAAGAGGTGTGCATGAAAAACTAGGTCCTTTTTGAAATGTGGCAGACAGATTTCAACCTGTCCCATCACTGCACGCTCTTGTAAAAAGTCCCTCTTCATCCAAAATTAAGAATATATCCCGATGGAGCACTTGTTAGTGTCAAAAGCACAAAGTCTAACCATGGGTTTGGGCTACAAAATAGAACTTTATGTAGGACAGCACCTACATGTTTTAACATAATTTTTAATGGGGTTTGGAAGAGATGGATTTGGGAAATTTGGAAGGGGTGTGGGAAATGTGCTGAACATCTTAATGACTACCTAATCACAAAGTACAGAACTTACAAGTGTATAATATTTCCCAGGATCTAAGTGCAGACACCCTTCGCTGCTCAATGCCTCTTAAAACCTGATTGGCCTCAGAAAATTAATCATTCAGGCATAGAGGAGCTACAGAGGAGAAATTTGTGATATATATCCTTCTAAAACAAGAGTAATCTGTCTGTGCTTCTCTTGGGGCAGGAGGAAATCACAGAAGCAGCTTAATTTAGCTTCCTTAAAAGGCCCTCCAGAGGAACCCAATGCTTTCTGCTGCCTGCAGGGAGGCCTGAGGAGATTTGCCTTCCTTAGATAAAATTAAACACTGTGAACGCCCCCTTAGTGCTGCCTGGAATGGGATAATCAGATCTTGTGCACTGTGTTTTGCAAATATCACTGATGTTTTCCCAACACAGGTTTTTCCAAGTAGGATGGTCATGTGTTCCATGTCGTTTATGAGCTGATGGGATGTTACAGGGAGAAGTTGGACCCTGGTGGCCCTGCCTCTGCTCACTTGTTCTCCCAGTGGGGGAATACCAGCCTTGGAATAAGCAAACCTCCCATTTAAATGCTATTTTTGAAGCAAGTTGTAATCCTGAGGCACAGGGGAAAAATTCAAACAAACAAAACCCCCACCAAAACAGCTCTAAAACGCCATAAAAATGAGATATAAATATGTAAAGCAATTTAATGAGATATATCTGCTGATTAACACAGGCAGGGAAGGGAGGGAAAGAGAATTTGGGCCAAATCACAAAGAAATAAGCAGTAAATCAATGATGTTAATAAGTCAATGATGAATGTGGCACTGGCAGCTATTTCAGTGAATTTTTGCTGAACTGGTGATGCTTCACAGTTTCACCTTGGCCACTTTGAGGGTCCTTCCAAGGAACTTTGCTTGGGGATGCAGAGTCAAGGGTGGGAGGATCCTTGGTAGACTGAAAAACCTGTTGGAAGGATCTGCCTTTTCCTTTCTCTTTGGCTTTGGTATGAAGTGACAGTGACTTTGTTCCCAAATAAATATGATAATCCAGCCCTGGGGCTGGGATCCCATGACAATTTTCTGTCCTCAGACTGTGATGGCAAAATTATGGTACAGTTTGAAAGCAGAAACCTTAAGGAGTTGTGATCACCATTTGAGTAAACTGAAGGACAGGGCTGCACCAAAGCAGATGGTGGTTGCAAACAAATACACCAAGGAATTAGGAAAATATTTATAATTTTTCATCTAAACCACAGTCTTGCAATAGGAGCAGTGAAGGCAACAGAGCCATCCAGCTTTTAGATGCAATTTGATATGATTTTATGTCACACAGAGACAGAAATAATGATGACTCCAAGAAGTATCTTTCAATCCCCAGGAGCTATTTACCTGTCTCCTGAGATCAACCCTTCTAATGACCAACAGTTGGAGTCTTATATATGAAATTACTGGAGTGACCTTGGCTGGAGTGGGGGTTCTGCCCTGATTTACCAGGGAATCACCCCCATCACCTGAGTCTTTACAGCAGCAACGGTGGATTGGTTCCACAAGGCAGAGCTTCAGTAAAACCACTTGAAAGACAGGCAAGTGAGCTCATGAATGAGAATTTTAAAATGCTCCCACTTGGCAGAAACCAAAATGGGCCCCTTCAGGTTTCATAGTATGCTTTTATTTTTAGCACTTTAATAAGCTTAACCCTCTTTTATCGCTACAACTTCTGGCTAAAAATAATCAATATAACACACTGAGAAGCACAATAAAAAGAAGAAGAGGAAAAAAGGAGTATTTTGGTAATGCATAAAGGTTTCTTTCCTAATTAAAAGCCAAGTTTGGAGGGGAATTGCTTTCAGTGTGAAAATGAATTTTGCCCATTCGAATTGCCGTGCACTTGGAAAGTTTTAAGTGAGTTTCATTCCACGAACAAAAGACCCTCAGGCTGAGCACAGGCAGAACTTTAGATGTTAAGGGGAGGGAAAACTATGACAATTCTTCCAGAGTGAAGTTAAAAATGGCTTAGGGTTAGTCATTTGCAAACTTCAATGTAAACATCGAGTTAGAA